CCCCCCCCCACCTTGAATTGCCCAGAGAGTTGATTCCGACACTTCACGAGTCTCGAAAAGAGAGAAAAACCGGTCGACCATGTGTGCATACGGATTTCAGAACGAAACGTTGACAGAAACAATTCCTGTGAAACAACAGGTCGTAGGTACGTGAAGGCGCGAGAATGAGTGATCTATTTGAAAATATTTACTCGTTCGAAGAGTCGTTCGTGCCGAGCGATCATCTCTGACAGATCGTGACCACAGAGATGAGGTGAAAACGATGGCTGTTCCCGCAGGTCCATAGGCGCCACCAATCGACCGTTGGAGAAGCACTAACACCAATCCTTGATGTCTTGCGACCAATTCCATGGCCAAAACCGTCAAACGGCGAAACGACAAGAAGGATGTAATAAGGCGATTTTACCCCCCAAGGCGACAAATAGGCACAAACGCCAGCATCCATGTTGGAATAGGCAAGTGGAGAGATTCCGTCGGTGTGTGAAGTGTTAGCTCATTGGCAACCCATGGTGCGAAGTGACGACCGGATCCATGTGTGTTCCCGGCTAAACTGGCTCGATGTGATAACGGAATGTCGAGGATGGTTGCTCCTTGGACACTCTGCTGGCCTTGCAATGGGCATGGGTGGTACATCTTACGCGTTGCAACCACGGCCTTCACAATCGGGCACGTGTGCGGGAACGTTCTGCTGTTGGTGGACCGATGAAAATGAATTGGCCAGAACTACAGGAGCAGCACAAGAACCAACGTCGACTGCAGATGATACAGCGCACGCGTATCTTTGCATATTTTCACGTATGTCAACGAGAAACATCAAGCGTGGCATCGCCTACAAGATCGATGTGTTACCGATAGTTTTGTTCACTTGTGCTGCCTGTGCATAACCGTGGAGACATTGGGTTCCTGCTACATGGTAGGGCCAACATCTTCCTGGGTATATAACGGCGGACGTATGTACTGTTGTAGAACTGGAGAAAAACCAGAACTTCTTAAATTCTTGCGGACGAGATCATCATCATCGTCACCGACAAAGCAAAAACCCCTTCGTACCTGAAGACCGAATTAACGTGGTCGACCAGCCCAAATTCCACTAGGCGTTGGCCGATGGCCACCGCCTCTTTTCTCGACGCAGCAATACCGGTATCGCACATCCAATCCACCGCCTGGCTTCCGACAAAAGACTTCTTGAAGATCGTCGAACCATAGTCACGATCCTTAAGGGTCCAGACGATAAGCAGACGGTATCAAAACAGAACAAGTGCTTCACACGATTAGTTCCCCCTCGAGGTTCTGGTTCGAACGACAGCGGAGACAGAAGTGAACAGAGCGAACGGCGAACTAATAGCTGCTCGTTGCTCCCTACAAAACGCTGCAGTTCTTTTTTCTCTCCTGAAAGCTCTTGCATGCATAACTACCAAAGGACAGCATGCATAACTACCAACACTGGGGATTTTGGGGACCGTCGTGAACACATTGCAGCATTGACGCCCGTGGGGTCGCCGAATTGAAATAGCCAAAGGCGAGCCCAGGTCAAACAGACCAACCCATCATGGCCTCGTATCGTGACCCTACTGTAGCCGTCTGCTTGTTGGGGTGGTAACGTTGGTTTGGACCTCCATCTGCCCATTTATGGGAAAATCATGTCGCCCCCGAAAACACACGGAAACAAGCGAGTACCCGATCCCCAAATACTGCCCGACGTCTTTTCGCCCGTCAGAGCTCAGCCTACGGGTATCAAAGAAACAGTACACCACAAACTGGGGTCTATTCGTTGATGTTGGGAGATTGATCTATCTGAACCGACACACACACGCGCGGTCGCTGAGGTTGACATTCATTCGATGGTCAGTTGGTGCGCAGTTGGTAGGCCGAAAACTCACATACACAGCTACACGTACTTAAAATCTTCCCGCTCCTCCTGTCGGACGACCCCGCGGACTCGACACATTGATGTAATAGCATTGGCCAACCGATAAAGGCTGTCGACAAAATCAGCGGGACACACACCTTTGGGCTAGACTTCGTTCGTTGTCGAACCTCCTACGCATTTCTCTTACTGGGGATTCTGTGGGTATTTTGTTAGGTTAGCAAGCTGTTTCTTGTTGTTCGTGTGGCCTATAGGCTGGCGTCTTGTCATTGGCCAGTTGGTGTGTGCGGCCGCAGATTGCAGAAACATATGAAATGTACACACCTCGATAGGTATGCAGCTTCGCATCTTCAAGCACAGGAACTCGGCGGCCTCGAAATCTAGCAACATGGCGCTTTCAAACTGCGATTCGTCTTCTCCTCCCTCGCCCTCGAACCTCTGGAAACGGTACCCCGCACTTTTCGAGCTATTGCTCGAAAACACTGATGCTCCGCTCTAGGCACGATGGTGATGGTGGTGAAACCAAGCGGGACGGCGTATGCATACGACACGAATCACTTCAGGCGCGGGGGGCATGGGGTGAAAGAACGAAGTTGCGATGAGGCTTGGGTCGGGGACGGGGCGTCACGCTCATGGCGCGCAAAACGTGAACCCTCTTCTCTCCCGAAGCGAAGTGCGCTACTGGTGGCCCCTCTTGCCACTTCGGGCGAAAGATTGCTTGCTTGTGCACGAGATCAACCACCAAGAAGCGAGCGATCCCAGCAACAGCGACGTTTCGATCCCAGCAATCACGACGCCGCGCGCTGGCCGCCCTGTGGACCGACCCCGTCCCAAGCTTCCAAGCTGTATCACCAGCAAGATCATGGTCATGGGAACAACGTTGCTACATTGGCAAGCTGATCAGATGCTGGAGGCCTCGGATACGAGAAGTGAGATGTAAAAGCCACACCCTCAAATGGAAGAGTCAATTCCCGTGAAACAAGAACCCGTTTCTGCCTCAAACTCTACGGTTGTTGCCGTATTTATTGTTCAGCGCCGACGAAATCGGGAAACGGCTTTCCAATCGCCAGCCCCCCCCTGTGATAGCGATTGGGACCACTCAGTTACCACGTTTGTACCTGTTTGTACTCACAGTGTAGTGTTCGTGGCGATATCGGGAGAGCGCGACCAGGAGTTTGAACAGGAAGAATGAGTCGTTCTGTAGGTGGTACGTTGTATTTTCTCCCTCCCAAAGGGACCCCCCCCCACCGCTGTAAAGCAAGCCGCCCAACCCGGGGTTTGCCATCCTTTGTTTCTTCGCTTGGCAGCGGTGTTGTAAAGCAAGACGATCACTTCGTGAGCTCGGCAACCAGGTTGCCGCCTTTCTTTTTGCCATTGCTCTTGTTTTTTTTTTGCCGCAACCATGAATCGTGGTCGAGTAGATTATGTTGTGCGGGGTCGAGAGCCCCCACTCCGCGCATGGGGGGTGATCGCACCACGTTGTGTTAAAATGGTCAAGCACCCTCGAGGCAGTTACACAGTGCTTACAACTGTCT